CGATGGAGTACCCGCGGTTCTTCCTGCTCCCTGAACGAGAGCTGGAATGTGAGCCCCTCTTTAGACTTTCACCTGAAAACAAAATGAAGCACATACCCCCTGTAAAAACCAACCCAACTTATTTGACTTAAACAACTGTTTAGGGCATTATACATACATTTCATTAATCATTCTTTTCATTGTTGATTATTTTCTCAGTTAATCGATTAATCTTTTAGTCTACAAATGTAAAAAAAATAAATAAATAAAAAAAGAAGTGAAAAGTGTCCATTGCAAGTTTTGACAGTCCAAGGCAACACTTTCAGATGCCTTGTGTGGTCCAAACAAAACGTATTTCATTGAATTGATATTAAAAAAAAGGCAGCATGTCTATGCATTTGAGAATATTTGTCATTTTTGCTTGATTTAAAAACTGTAATCATTAATTGATTATAAAAATGTATGCAAATTGATTAATTGAATATTTTTGGGGGGGCGCTAAACATGCTAATTGGTGAGCTTTAGAAGTGCTCCTAGTCGAGGGTTTTTTTGGTTTACCTTTGTACAAAGCCAAGCTAACTGTTTCCCCCTGTTTCCACTCTTTCTGCTAAACTAACTGTCTATTTGTTGTAGTTTCAGCTTTAACTTACTGATCTTATCTCATCTCATCGTATGTGTACACCTGGCAGATAAAGCTGATTCTGATTCTACTTCTGGCAAGAAAACAAATGAGCATATTTCCCAAAATGTTAAATTATTACTTTAATTTTTAAATTAGAGAATCATTTCAATGACACGATGGCATACTGTAGCACACACAAGCCCATAACGTGACAGGCCACACTCATTGGCTTGTAACTACTAAACTACACACAAAAGAAGTTGAGCAAAATAAGTAGTTTCAGGTTATTATTTGAGGACTTGGGTCTCATTCACAAACAAACACACAAATCTTTGTGTAAATCATGCATACAAATGTTTTATGCACAAATCCATGATTATTCAATATTTTCTTATTTAAATTTATTTGTACTTGGACAGATATGGAATTGTCTCAACTGCATTAATTTAAAAAATGTTTTAAAAACATTTAAAACTGTTAATTTACTAATGCATTGGCAACATTTATTAAATAACCATGAAACTTACACCCTTTCATCCTCATTTTTAAAATATTCGTCTATCAAAAGTGTCCCAGTCCTTGCTTACAATGGAGTATATGAGAATATTGAAATGTAACAGTTACTGTTTTCTTTGATTGTATTGACTTGGCCTACAATGTGTAATATAATGTGCCTTTTCTGGCTTGTTTCAATTTCTTCAGTCATGAAATTCTTTTGCTTTTTTGCTTTATGCTTCTCTCTTACAGCAACTTAACCACTTTCTCCATGATACACCACTAGGCAAACATCTTTCCTTATATAGAGAAAAGGGGGCGTGTACACTGACTACAAATAGCACTAACATATGCTCAGTGGTAAGAACAAAACTGGCCACTGCACACTTGTCATGAATCCAACAATAATTTTGCAAGTGCATTTATTTTTGCGCATAGTAGTAACATTTCTACACATTAGTGAATGAGGCCCATGTTCTGTTAAAACATGTAGAGAGGACTGAACAATGTCTGGTATTAGAACGTCTTCACATTACATTAATTTGACTTACTGGGGTTTATGTACTCAATACATGTCTGCAAATACTCATTAGTATCCAGGTCGACTGGAACAAACGCTGTGTATTTGCTCAGTATATTGCAGGCCTTGCTGGTGTGAATAGCATATAGTTGGTACTTCCTCCCAGAGCCTGTGAATTATAATAAGCATAAAATGATTATATAACATATCATAGGATTACATAATATCGAATCATATAATGGTTATGACAATGTTGAATAACACCAAGGACTTTGATAACACAACACGAAACATACATAATTTATACATCAATCATACAGGATATGAAATGCATCTTAAAGGAATATTTTAAAATTTTTGTAAATGCACTTATTTGCTTTTTTGCTTAAATTTAGATAAGAGGATTGCTCCCACCCTGATATCTGTCTGTTAAATATGAAGCAACAGCCAGGAGACAGTTAGCTTAGCTCGGGAGCAAACAGCTATCCATATCCCAGATTTTGTTACCTTTGGACAGAGCCAGGCTAGCTGTTTCCCCCGTTTCCATTCTTTATGTTAAGCTAAGATGACTGTCTCCTGGCTATAGCCTTAAACAGACAGATATGAGAGTCAATCAGCAAGAAAGCAAATAAGTGCATTCCCCAAAATGTTTAACAATCCCTGCAAAGTTGTATTTCTAACATTTCAACACCAGAACATGTGAAATAAGCCGCTAAGACACATTACAGATATAAAATTTGTTTACTATAAACAAAAAATCTCTGTAGAGCTCACCATGTTCAATCTCACACTCCTTATCCACCATGTGCTCAAAGTCATGTATGATGGAGCGTCCAGCCAGGTGGTGGAAGGTCTCATTCCACAGCTCTTCATGAACCTTTTCCTCACGTTCACGGCCATTCAGGAAGGGCTCGATATCAAAGACGACCTCCCATTTCTCTGGTTTCCCACACAGCAGTCCGGACACCAAGGCCTTGCAGTCACCTTTGTGCTGGCTTGCTGCACCCAGATCTGACGTTCTGGTCTCCTGTGGGGTTTCTGCTTGACATAACTGGTGTCCATAACCATCTGAAATATCACAAGAGCAAGGTTAGATTCCTGAATGTTCATTTCATTTATAAGTCAACATGTATTCAAATCCATTTGAAGCTTGTCACCTGCTGCTGCTCACTTGTCATTGAATTTGTGTTAAACTAAATCATCATCTCCTGTATGTGTTCAGCCTGCTCTCTGTGTTCAGCCTGCTTGAATAGACCAATAATTGTTTTCTAAAGTGCTACCCTCTTTTGCTCCTTATTCATCTCCTAATTAATTTTCTGTTTTGTTCCCAAATTTAGAAAAAACATTTCCTGTCATTCTCAAGACTCTCCTCTGTGCTTAATCATCTGGCAAGTGTCTGCATTTAGCATGGATGCCATTTAAATCAATTTTTAAGAGAATTGTCACATACTGAATAAAGGACAAGGAATTTAATTAATTTATTCTACAGTTAGTTATGAAGCAGATTTTTTTTTAGATTAGGTTTTCATGTTCTATTGTGGTGTCTGACAAATGCACATATGTTATACACCACACTATCATGTTACAGGAATAGTATGCTCAAACTGGGGTTTGAACCCACAACCTTCTTGCTGTAAGGTGACAGTGCTAACCACTGTACCACCGTGCCGCCCCTTAATCGTATTAATTTTTTGTACAAATTAAACAACCAAGATAAAAAAAACAATTTTCTTTAAAAGGGACATTAATAATGTCTGTGTGACTTCAGACAAAAATTATTACTTTAATACTTATGACAACTTTAAAAGGTGTAATGGCTTTAAGATGATGTTGATTAGTTTGGTTTGGGTTTATGCTGTCATTAAACAACCTGTACACACTTGCATACATATTCACCAAAAAACAAACATACAAACATAAAACACAGATTCAATCCAACATAAATCATAGACATGTAGATACATTCAATAAAGCAATACGTTCTTAGCATTTTTTAGTAAAACAGAATGGTTGTGCTCGTGGTCTCACCTGTATCTCCAGCACTGCCAACAGATGGGCTGTCAGTGGACGATCTGGAGCCATCCTCTCCAGTGGTGTTGCGAGCTGAAGGCGTCATGCTGATGCCGCTGAGCTGAGGGTTGTCCTGAGGCTGAGAATGGAAATGAAGCTCTGAGTCGGCTTCCTGTTGCAGCAGCGGCTCCTGCAGAGGGAACGGCCTGTGACAGCTGGCGGAACGGCCTCTGGAAGATGTGGCACACAGGCTCGCCAGCTGTGGCTGGAAACAAAGGACAGAAAGTTGTTGTTTTTTTATTTTAAATACCCTGATGCAATCAGGATTTATTAAGATATGAAACCTCATTCTGGGGGGTTCACTCAAGCTCATATTTCATGGTGCTTTTAAGCGACTATGTATTTATTATGATTTCCAAACTCTTTATTGTTTGATTAAACTAATGCAAATAATCTATTTTGCAAATAGGGCAACTACTAAGAATCATTTTCATTCTCGATTAATGTTGTGATCTTGTTTAATCTTTTTTTGTTTTTATAGAATGTTAGAAAATTGTAAAAAATGTCAACCTCAGTTTTCTAAAGCCCAGCTTGATGTGCCTTTCTCATTTTGTCTGACCAACAGACTAACAACCAAAGATATTCAGTTTATTCTCACATAAGAAGTAGAAATACAGCAAATGCTTACAATTGAGAAGCTAGGACACGGGAATGTTAGGCTTAAAATGTGACTTAAAACAATTAATCAAAATCCTGGAATTAATGTTCTGCTGATCGACTAATTCATTAATCAACTAATCATTTCACCTCTAATTGCTCAGATGAATTTGATTTCTGCAGAATGATACAATATTCAAATGAATGTAACAGAAATTGTTTATGTTTTGAGTTGTGAAATCCTTCATCTTGTCAGCCCTCCTGCACAGGTTAATTTACATTTCTTTAATTTATGTAGCAATCCACAAACAAATAAATAGAAAGTTACTATATTTACTTTTAATCATTAGATATAGATTAATCATGGCTTGAGTGCAACAGCTCAGCTGTATTCCAAAGAGAAGATTTAATTTCTTCACAGACCCGTGAATTCTGTTTAGTTATTCTAGGATGCTCCCTGAGCAATATTCAAACCTAATTACCATTCATAAATGTTGGCCCTCATTACAGGGGAGAGCACATTAGTCTATTCTTGATTATACTCTACCCCAGACAAGGGTCAGATGGCTTTTTAATCCATCAATGCAGTCTGAATACAAATATAATTTTTCCATTTAATGGCAATATGTCAATATAACTGTCTCATAATACAAAATACAATTATCCTGCCTTTATAACCATAACAGTGGTTTATTTAACATGCATGAGCGCTTAAACAGACAACATGTGTATTATTATTAAATAAAGCTTAGTTTGGAGGCACTGTTTTAGATCTGCAAACTACAACTAGATTACAAACTGAGTCAGAAAAAAACAGATCAGCCTAAAAGATTATGTGAGTGTTGCTGTTCACAGTGTGGGACCACACCTGGTAGTCGTTCCTCCACTGTGCCTCGTGCTCAGGGCTCATCTGGCCTATCAGCTCCTGGACTTTGGTTCTCCTCAGTGGATTCTTTACCACCACAGAACTGGGATCACTGGGAGTGTAGACCTTCTTTGCTGGGTTGTAGTCTATTATCTGGTTGGTACTGTATGCGCGCCTTCTCGGAGAGGTCTTACAATCCAACCCTGATGTTTTGTTCCAAAATAGAAATAATCAACCCAAAAACTCAAAAAAAAACAAATCCAAGACAAAGTCATACAAATAATTGTTAGTTTAGTCAACTCTGAATTGCCGATTACTAACTCAAGATTTTCACACAAAATAATTCCAAAGATGCCTTTCACCTCACAATTTCTGCCTCTTCTGCATCAATTTATGGAAATTCAAGTGGCAGGTGACAATTGAAACTATAAAAATATAATGCAATATAATGCAGTAAGGCTCTGAGGCATTCTGTATTGCTTTCAAATATGTATTCTCCTGTAGATCAACTTTTCTCATTTAATATCATCCCCGCTAAGTAAACACACAAGTGGGCATGATTGATTAAAGTAACGTCTTTAAATATGCAGGTGACGCTTATTCACGTCAATAATACATTATATAATGGACTTTAATAGCTTTTTAATAAATAGAGTATCAGCAAGTTATCTGCTCATGTTCAAAATGTTCTGCACATATCTGTGATCTCAGACATTTCCAAAATAACATCACAATCTAATGGAAATAAAGTCAATATTTTAACAAAATCTACCTGCACTATACTCTGCTGTGCATTTGCCTGCATTATTGCTCTGCCGATATACCCATTCAGACCGTCTGACAGACACGGAACTGTTTGGGACTGTACTGGATGAGACAATGAGGTGGAAAACCAAAACTGAAAACACTTCTGATCAGGAATCAATCCCACCACAAATTTTAACTTTAGCACCTCCAATAAAGTGCAGCTCATAGGGGCTTCAGTTGGAAGCATCCTGGTGCAGAGAGAGCGGTATGCTGAGTAGTGTGGAGTAACGTTCGATCTGCTGCTTGGACAGAGGACTCAATGACATCATATTATCTTCAAGGGCTTTAATGCATGATTGGACACTCTGGGGCTTTATTTTTCTGTTTTAAAAAAAACCAAACAGATGCCCAGGCCTAATGACGCCTCTTGTCAGCACAGCATGCTAACATGTTCACTCTGGCGATGCTAACATGCTGATTTTTATCAGGTAATGTTTTCAATGTTTGCATTTTCATTTTTGCTTATTAGCACTAAATATAATTAATCAGAGTGAATGGTCAACATAAGAGTCAGCCAATATGGTCCTCCATTTTACACAAAGTATAGCTGAGGCTGATGGGAATGTCATTAGTTTAGCAGGTACTTGGTTATTACTTATAAGTATAACATATAGTAAAATTTTGACCTGATGATGGGGCTAAATGAATGTTTAGGGATCGTCAAAGTCACTACAATCCATTCTGAGGGCAGTGCTGGAACCCACTATTTAGCCTCTGGGGGTATTGGCCAATGCTTCAGGGCTTCCGGTGTAGCCAAGTCTTCCTCTTCCACGTGCTGGTCATTTTTTACAGTCCAAGTGGCAATTTTGGAATCCATCAGCTGTTGTCTTTTTAAAAACTAATAAAAGCTAACCTCTAGGGTTCCGAGATTGACAAAAAGCTCAATCATCGTCATACTATAGCTGATGGATTCAAAGATTGCATTTTGTCCAAAGGGACTACATACGGAAACCAGATAGCCTCTAATACCAAAATCATGTCTCTTGCCTACAGATTCTGATTTCTTATGCAGATATCTGTTTATAGAGATTATTCTGAGGCGGACATGAATATCTGTACAAAATAATTGTTTCACTCAAAGACACAAATGTAGCTGGTGATGGAGCAAGGGGAAAAGTCAGGGAATCATCAAAGTCACTGGGATACATTGATTGGGAACCATGATTGTCTGTACAAAATAGCAAGCCCAATCCATCCAATAGTTGTGGCAATATTTCGGTTTGGACCAAAATGTTGGACCAATCAACTGACATTGCCATCCACTGAGCCACTGCACTAGCCTAATAAAAATAAGAATTCCACCTAACAAACTCAATGCCAAGTGATATTGAAGCACACAAACACCTCAGAATGTGACAGCAGATTGCTGAAATAAGTTAACAATACACATTGGGGAAATGCAAACATTCCTATGCAAGCCCAATATTAATGTTAAATGATGTACAAGTCTTTTCACAGGTGATGTCATTCTAATTGTCTGACAAAGATACATAAGCAGGACATTTTACAGTTGAAAAATCAACCTGTCGGTGCTCTTTGGTGGGCAAACTATGTAATGGTGTACCTTTAAACTGCATTTGAATCCTACCTTATCAAAGCAAGGAGCAGATACTTGGCGGCTTAATCTAAGATAACCTACATTGGCTGGTCCCTTTGGCGCAATAGGCAGTTCAGTAGTCCAGCTACACTAGTGTTACAAAAGAAAAGACTAGTGCAATTAGACACACAAATTAACATTTATATATTAAAACTGTAAGTTCCTACCCATGGTGTCTTGCTCTGTGGTGGCAGGGCTGCTGTCTATCATGGTGTCCTGGTAGAAGTCATACAGAGGGCCAGTGAGTGCTTCCCTGTAGGATCCCTGACTGTCGACACCTGTCTTCACTGGGTCCTCTTCTTGAGAGTGAAACACAGAGCTGGCTGATTCAATGGAGCGCATCATGCTGTATCGCCTCCTCTTATCCTGTTGAGATTATGAGTAGGTGACATATCCAAGTATTTCTTCATGGTTAGCCTTAGCCCTTTTTTTATCTCCCTAGGAAAGCCTTTCAGAGATAACGGACAAGTCATTCTGAAATATTCACAACACAGAAAGTCATGCATGCGGTCATTGTCTCCTTTCAGAAGATGTCTTGCACTTACAGATTTGGGGTTGGCATGGTAGCGGGTGGTGTCACAAACCACACAGTAACCAATCAGACTGTCCCCTGGAAACAGGAAGGTGTTGCCCACAGGGGACAGCAGCACTTCTTTGGTCTCAGGAAAGAGCCATTCGATGGAAATATCACTGAGTACTGGAGACATGGTTTTCTTTAGGGACTTTATCATCTGTGGAGCAAAAATAAACTAACTAAAATAGACTTTCAGATACAAAATACAGCTTCTCCCTGACCAGTACATAAAGCAAATGGAGTCTCAGAGATATGATTTTCTAATTGGTATCAGTGGTAGACACTTAGTGATGGAAACCACTGCATAATGGCTCTCCAGTGGCCCTCAGAATAGCCAGCTGTCGTTAGGAGTGATACACAAAGCTGGAAATGAGTACCTTGGGTTGCAGCCTCTCTCCTTCGGCCAGGAACTCTGCTGTTCCTTTGGAAACAGTTGCCAGTCCCTTCACCAGCCTCCTGCAGGCATTCTGTCCTATGCCATATGTAAAACATCTGCACAAACACATTAAACACTGCAGCTCAGCAGGGGTCTTCTCAGGATGTGCATACATTTCACAGAGCTATAAACTATAAGCAATCAAATTTGGCAAACATAGATTTGGGTGGGGGGCAAACTGGAAATGATCTTTCATGGTGCAGAGAGTTGAGACATGCCTGCTGCTCCAGCAAGGTCGGCTTTATTTTGCCATTTTATTCGGTTTTTCACAGAGGGATGAGCTGGCTAATTTAATTAGCCAGCTGCAAACTGGCTAATTTAATTAGCCAGCTACATTCCTTTGCATTTTTAATGAGTCGAAAAGTGCAGATAAAAATAGAAATATCCCCTACATAGTTAAAAACCTAACATGGATTTTTGGAACTGAGAATCTTTGTTGTTTGGTCATTTGATTTGTAAGCATAGTGTGATAATGATCCAGAAAGTGTCGATGAATTGGCCAAGCTCTGTGAACCTAATCATCTGGGGGCAGTCATCCATTAAAAGGGGGAAGACAAAAGTCGATTATTTTCAGAGTGACTCAGGGGAGGGATTCACAGCATGAGACTTAGGTGCAGGCTGCAAAGTGAAGTGATTTTCCAGTAAACTGCAGATCTATTGTGCCACAGGCGCTCTTTCTCAGTTGATGTTGGTGTTTGCAGCCTTCAGGCAGAATATTTATATCCTTACACTAGTAGCTTTAAACAATGTCTTTTTTATCTAAAATCAAGACAGCACAAATCTGATTCTTTGTAGTAATCATGTTTGACACTGACAAGACATTCAATGCACATTCACGGATTTCATTTTGAGAGGATTATAGTTCCATAACCAGGTGTTACATTTAAGCCCATGAAAATGCCTGCATGTGATTTTATGTTATCTCTGTGCAGTCCTTTTGGCATTTTCATAATGGGCATAAAGAAATAATGAATATTATCATTCAACATACAGTAGCTTTTCTGTGCTTGAATATCAAGCAGCTACCTTAAACACATATTCAAGTCAGTGTGAGTGCTATATTTCTACGTCTGCAGGTACAGATCACATTTAGCACGAAATGGGTCATTTCTAACATTCAGAATAGAGCTCAGTTATCAGCCTGAGTGTGTGTTTACAGTAATACTTGCCTGATGTAGCGTGCATGGCTGCGGACCAGCTCGATAACCTTGCCTGTGTTGCTGACGGCCCCGTCGGTGAGCAGGAAGAGTAGGCGTGGGTGTCCGTTGAACATCGGCTGCCTCAAGATCCAGTTGAGCGGTGCTAGGATGTTGGTCCCCCCCATGTCGGCTCTGATCTTCCTAACATACTCACAAGCCAGGACCAGGGCTTCCTGAGTTGTGACGATGAGGAGGAGAAAAGACTAACTGCGGTTTCTTGAGTTAAAGTATCTTACCATTCTTTGGCTCAGTAAACACAAATGCTATTCTTACATCACAGAGATAAAAAATAATAAAATATGGTAATTCATCATGAAAATATATATATACAACCGCTTTACCTCGTCATAGTTCTGGCTGGTTGTGAAAAGTGATTTGAATGTAGAGCCGAAGCCTATGATGTTAAAAAGGCAGCCTGGCACAAGGCTCTTGAGAATCACCACCATGGCATCCTGAGAGAGAGAGAGAGACCGAGAGCGGATTAAGGTAATGTCCAGAAAATAGAACAGAACAAAGACTGTGGAAATAAAAGGCAAAACTCTTGGGCTCATTAGGTGCTTAATGTCCTGTTGAACTATGCAATCATTTCCACTGCAATAAAACTACATCTACTGATCTCTAGCTGAATTGAAGCACGGTGCTCTACACAGCTGCATCGTTTCACAGCAGATTTTCTCAAGGAGAGGAGTGAGTGGCATCATGCAGTGTCATTTTATCCATCACTGCCTCTGTTACAGCAGAGGAGCAGTTTCCGGAGGCATACCACTTATCTCAACTTTGATTCAGGTGAAGAGGACAATGAAGAGAACCTAGACCACATTGGTCAGACACTCAAAATGCCTGTTCAAGTGCATTAACAAAGAAAATGTAGGTATATGTCATGTTTCAGTTTTTAAAGATATTTTTAAAGGTATTCTGCAGTATTTCCTATAAGGTCAGTGGTAAATATCACTGCCCTGTCCTTAAGCCCAAACTCTGTTGAATCAGACACACCCAATAAAGGCCTGCGTCTGAGTCATACATTAACATCACATCGCAAGGCAGGGTTAGTGCACAAGTAGCAGGCAGCAAATAACATACAAGCATATTAAAAAAATATAAACCTTGAATGAGGTTCAGCTCTGTACGTGAACATCTAATGAATGATTTGTCTGATCAATATCTTTGTGCACATGTCCTTCACACAGTTGGTTAACCACACCTATAAAACTGCAGAATCAGTATGGCTACGAGCCTAGAAAGCAATTACATAGCCTCTAATGACATATCATGTGTTTTCATGCTTTAGCTTTCAGTTTGATCTCTACAGAATTCCATAAATTGATGGGGTGTTTTTCATGCTCAGGGAGGATTGTTTTTTTTGTTTTTTTTACAAAACCCGCACAGCTGTTGCATGAATCAGTTTGCATAACCAAAGAATTTCTTCACAAACTGTCAGGAACTGTCTTAGGGAAGCTCATCTGCATGCTCATCGTCCTCATCGGGGTCTCGACCTGACTGCAGCTTTGCACAGCCATTGAAGAGGAGTGGACGTGTTGTGCAGATGTGTTGCACTGCGTGAGGCAAATGGTGGTCACACCAGACACTGACTGGTTTCCGGACCCCCCCAATACAGTGAAACTGCACAATTTTGAGTGGTCTTTTATTGTGGCCAGCCTAAGGCACACCTGTGCAATACCCATGCTGTCTGATCAGCATCTTGATATGCCACACCTGTGAGGTGGATGGTTTATCTCAGCAAAGTGCTCCCTAACTCAGATTTTGACACATTTGTGTACAATATTTGAGAGAAATAGGCCTTTTGTGTACGTAGAAAAAGTCTTAGATCCTTGAGTTCAGCACATGAGCAATGGGGCAAAAAAAAGTGTTGTGTTTATAATTTTGTTCAGTGTATATTAGGTCACATACAGGAGGAAAGAAATTTGTTCTGTTTGTGTTTCAAAGGTTTGTAGCTATGATTTCTCGTTTATATTATTAATTATCCACTTAATAGCTATGAGTCTTTTTGCACTCATAAATTCAATATCCCATTGCTTTAATAATCTTAGAGAAAACGGACACCATTTTATTTCTATTTCCATATCGTATGAAAGAGCAGGCCAAAACTTTTCATTGCTATACAGTTTCATTAGTTTGTTTTCTCAGTGTGTGATGTATCCTGTTAACAACTTAAAATGTATAATTTTGTTACAGCCGAGTTTGATATTCTGTGTATTTTCTGCCAAATTGATGCCCAAGTATCAGGCTGTATGTTCTTTTCTAGGTCCTTCTCCCAGATCTTTTCCATCGAGGTGCTGTTAGTTGTTAGTGTTCTTTAAACTGTTTATAATCTTATACATTTTTTAGCCTATATGTGTCTTCTTTTCATATATTGATGTTTCAACAAATTCAGTGTATTCTGCAAATATAATTGAAGAAACCCCCGTCTTTAAACTGGTTATGATGTATTATATATTATAATTTATATGTAAATCAATGTGCGTCTCAATGAAGGTTTGCATCTGCACAATAAATATAACCCACGCACACCACACTGAGATTAGAATACCTTCACACGGTTGATGTTAACCCCACTCATGCTACCACTGCGGTCGATGAGGAAGATAAACTCGCCGTGAACCTTCCTCAGGTCTGAGCTGATAGACTTGAGGTCAGGGCAAAAGTTCAACATGACCACAGGGTTGTGGAGGATGTCCTTATGGAGTCGTCTGTGAATGATATCTACCTGTAGGGACAGGATCAAAATCAAACAGCATAAATTAAGGGGGATTTGGCACCATGATATAACTGGACTGGCTTTGATTTAACACTTAAAGAAGACAAAAGAAGTCATTAGGTCGACAGACAGAGCACATCAATTATTGTTGATGTGCAGGAAATTCTAGGCAGAATGTGGCGAGCCTTTGGAGTGTTTCCATAGAAACCCATTTTTATGATTCTCTGTTTTTAAGTGCTCTCTCTCCTGTTTAGGTCTGCTGGTCATTTAACCTCATGGTAGCAGAGATGTGAATGGACTCAATCTCTCATAACTTAATAACCAAAGCAATTCTATTAACTAGGCAGGTTGAAAAATAATAACGCTGAACTGGTTACAGTAACTCATAACCTACAAAGGCAGAATGCAGTAGGCCTACTGTAACTAGTCAAAATTAAATCTGTTTCACCATGTAAAAATGATTGTACCATAGAAGTGCATAATTTCCATGGAAACAGCATGTAAAATGTGCCTTAACTTGTTAGTGCTCAAGTGAAAACATAGCCATAGGCTATCTGGTGAAGAACTATACATTGATTAATTGAACATCATTTTGCTGAAACATCTTGTTAATTTGTTTTTCCTAATTCCTATTAACTAATTTTAGTTGCTGAGACTTATCATGTTGGAGAAACATGATTAGAGTAACTGTTGTCTGAGCTTTTTTTTACTGGCTTTAAAACCCATATCTGAATGTATTTATTGCATTGTTTAAAAATAAATATTGTAGTATATGTTATATACTCGGTGGCTGTGATTCAGGAGGTAGACGGTGTCCCAAATTGCTCCTGAAGGCTGTGCCATTTACATTTACATTTACTCATTTGACACTTTTATCCAATGCGACTTACATTTGAGGAACAACATAGCATAACAGAGCATAAAATACAGCACGAGATCTACAACTGACAATACATAATAAAAGCAGCAGTAAATACTAGTAAGCACTAATGGCACATATCACATCAATGGGGTAAATACCTAGGAAAATAAGTTAGAGTTAACAAAAAGTGCAATCAATTCAAGATAATTGTAGTGGATAGAAGATTAAGAGCACAGGAAGTGCATGTTAGATGTTAGGAGTTAGAGGTGTTATAAGAGGAAGTGTTCTCGGAAGAGATGAGTTTTCAAGAGCTTCTTGAAGTTAGAGAGGGACGCGCCTGCTCTGATGGGGTAGTCTGGCAGGAAGGATAGGTAGAGTTGCGTATCGTCTGCGTAGCAGTGGTAAGAGAAGCCGTGCAAGCGAATGATCGACCCCAGTGAGGTGGTGTAAATTGAG